GTGTATTACAATTAGAAGCCTAAGACTAACAGATGTGAAATCTGGAAAAAAGAATGGGATTACTTATATCGAATTGGTCTTGGAAACGGATTTTCATATGAAATCAAAGAACGGAATATACAGGAGCGACAAACACGGATGTTACTATGTCTAACTTAATGAGTAGGGTCTAGAAAGCTGTGGAGGCTGTTAATGAAGTGGAATATCCTGAAACTGTCGAAAGATAAAACAAATCTTCTACTCATGTAAAGTAGCATGTAAAACTTGAAAAACTGGGATTCCCGGGAATTTAGTATATCAAATATGACGAATTAAACAAAATTATGTTCAAGAAATTGGGATAATAATTAACTTAAGACGTAAAGAATGTTAACGATCCTGAAGAAAGGTGAACAAATAAAAAGCACATTTTTGATTGACTAGCTGAAATATGAAATAAAATGCGTGTAAATTTCTTGCCTTTTGAGCAAAAATGCAAATAAACGGAAGAAATGTCACAATTCTTCAGCAGAAACTCAGCCAAGAGGATGGACTTCACTTGTCCTTAATACTGCTTTTAGGTCGGTGTTAGGGCTGCTGACTTTGATTTTGGCCAAACGTCCGAGAATGTACCCAATAGATGGTAAATCGCTGTCAAGAGCTATGACAAAAATGGCAGATGACTCAGTACGGGTGAATAACTGTCTTTCAAGTCTTAGTGAAAACGAGCATAAGTCGTCAAAACAGGGTCAAACCAAGTTTTCATAGTTTAATCGTAGGTAAGATGACCAAACTGGTGAGGTGTGATGTACCCTGGGGTAGGGTGGTTTTGATCTGATATGGTGTGATGTGGTAGGATATGATGTGGTTTGAAGTTATGTGGTCGGGCATAGTGTAGTGGTTTTATGTAGTGTGGTGTGATGTCGTCTGTTGATTTTGATGTTGCGTTTGACATGATGCGGCATTGTGTGGTACTATTTTGGTTGTTGCTTTCTTTCTCTATGCAGCCTTAATCTGACCTCTTGTATACAAATTTGTCGCATTTTCATGGCAACCTCGAAGAACGAACATTATACTGCGTCTTCTGTCCGAGTAATCATGACTATTCCTTCTGAACTTATTCAACATAGATAGCTTATGGGAAATTAAAAACTAATAGTAGGGTTATTGCTATAATGGTATGAATAGACTTCGAGATGTCTTTGAATTTCATTTGAATTCACCCTGAAAACATTTTCTCATCCGGGCTGGACTATAGTAGCAAACTTGTCTATGTCCCTTCAGTACACTTACGGGGATCCGGAATAGTGTCGTGTACATTGTGGTGCTAAGTGAGCACTACTTGTATACTCCTTATGCGGTTCCAGTGGGTCTCAGGACAACTGTACTTTCAGCACAAATCAGACCTCTCCAGAAACGATTTATAGTGGGATTGTAAATGAATTAAATATTTAGTTTTCTTATAAGATCAAGGTCAGTACTCGTGTTCTGTGCGAGTGTGTTTATTGAATTATAAATAAATTTATTTTTTCGTATATGTATTTTAATTATTCAGTGATCCTTGAAGTGGGAATTAGTCATCCTGGGTTGCTTCAATTGGTTTAAGCCCTGATCACAAAAAACTTCAGTCCTCTCTAAAGGGCACACCGTTTCTGGAAGCGAATCTAGCTGTTATTTAGTTTTGTCACCTGGCTTGATCATATCGCTTTGAGCAATACTCCATTATCGGTTCTTAAGTTATGATCGAATATTCATTTTGAAAAACAGATCTTATTCATGAATTACTCATAACTACAAACTACACATTTATTATGCATGAATATTTCAAATATCGGATAACTAATTAGTCGCTGGCCTTCCAGCGAGGTCTACTTGAGAAAAGTCTCATCACACACTTCCACACAAAGTGAAAGTTAATCGAATCCAAGTTTTCCTTATTAGTCCACTTGTATCTAGGCCTAAGACAGGATCGAAACTACAAGCCAATTTGGATTGTAAAACGCTTAGATATGTGCTAAGGTGAAATTCGTTTGCAAAATAAAATATCAAGTGAGAATAGTTGAAAACTTTATACCAGATTACTAGGATATTAATGAGTCATAAAGACTTTCAAGTTAAGACCAGCCATCCTCAACTCAAATTTTGGGTGTGGATAGGTTCAAAATTTGCTAATAAAATGTTTTTTAATAACACCTCTTTAATTTATAAACATTTAATTAATTTGCAGGGAATTCGATTCGTCAAAAAGACGAATAAATTATATCAGTAGTAGGAAATGTTTTCACCCAATTTCGTTTAAGGTGAAGGACTGGTAGAAGAAGAATTTTCCCACAATCATATGAGTTGAGCTGACGTTTCTATTCAATGTTACATAGCCTTGCATTCCCAAAAGTTGTTATCATCCAGCCACCAGTGAACTGCAGTTACGACTTCGTATCGGTCTTATCAACACCCTCAGTGGGAGTCGAACCGCGACAGTGCAGGATGGGAGATTGACACGTTAACCACTACCAGTCCTTCGTG